ATAGAATAAGAGATTGGAGGCCGTGGATTCGAATGAGGAATTGATGAAGTACGAGAAGGATAAGATTGGAGAGCATGTGGAGAGCGAGATGGTGATCGATTATGTCGTGCCATCACGAGAGGCGTAATCTGGGAACATTGGGCCAGATAATGCATTTAGTATAGCTCATTGTCGTAACACAATTATAAGCTAAATGTAAATCGGAACTGCGACCTCCGATTGCACTGCTCAACAATGTTCAGTAATGTTCAGTTTGATGTAAACAGTCTAGAATTGTAATAGAGGCACAGTGACGAGATTCAATGAAGCAAAATCAAGTCCTTTTCAGTCATGTCGTCATTCTCTGTTTGTTTTTTATCTTTGTGCTTGTGTTGGTTGAGCTACTGGTTGAGCATTGTATGACTCACCTTCAATGTAGCAAGCACAACTATGTGCTTTTTCATGACCCCTTTCCCAGGTCTATTATATTTCCTTATCTTACCTGCACAATAAAAAATACAAGAAGAGGTATTTTTCATAAGTTATGAAGACTATATAGTTCATCTTGATGTCACTCTTTCGGTCTTTTTTTTTTTAAATAGTTGGGGGATATTTTTATCCATTAAAAGAAATTCAACTTCAAATAGTTTTCACTAAAATAGTTTGCGTCTTCACTTTATTTTTAAATTTAAAAGAAATTGCTTGTGAAATAAAAATAATTCTCGGTTCTCCCATTGGAAAATAATAATTTAATTAATATTTAAAATAAATTCAAATGACGCAAAGTTAAAAAAATTGAAGGCAAAAGTATTCATGCATACTCTTATTCTTGTCGAAAATGGGAAATTTGCAATTTTAACTATCTCATCATGCCCGTGGGGGGAAAAACTATCACATCGTGCCAATAGAACAAAATAGCAAATTCTTTCTTCCAATTTTTATATTTCCCGGTTCCAAAAACTTAGTTATGTTATTTTCGAAATCTTGGATAGGTTTAGGGGTGAGCAAAATTAAATTGAGACTAAAAATGGAATAGAATCAAATTGAGTTTGAATTATTTGATTAAGTTTATTCAGTTATTTGGTTCAGTTTGGTTTTCTTTTAGTAAATTTTAGTTGATTGTGTTCCATTTAGTCTGCAAATTTTAAAATCAAATGAACAAAACTTATCGAATTATCTCTCTCTCTCTCTCTCTCTCTCTCACACACACACATTATTATAAATTATGAATTAATATATATAATTTATTACTTTATTTTACTCTCTCTTAATCAAAATATAAGGTATTGAATAGCTTTTATAATTGATTTGTTAATTATACCCTTACTTCATTTATTATTTTTTTTTAAAATATTGCATTTGAATTTTCATTATCATTATCTGCTTGTCACCTTTTAATCTCTACCATCTAATATTTGAATTTATCACTTGTCAACACTTTTGATTTTTACGTGTGACAAGCATATTAAGGACAAGGACTATGTGTGTGTTGTTATGCCATCTTTAAGAATTAGCTTACAATTTTTACAAAGTCTTTTATTTATGTTCCTTATTAAAAAAAAAAATCCTCAAGAGTTAAGACAGACTTATGCCTCGACGTGACGTACATAAGCGTTAATAATATTGATAATATCATGTCCAACAATTATTTTTAAGAGAATAATTTTGTCCCTAATTCTATTAAATTTTACCACATTTTTCTTCAACTCATCATCAACAATGTGATTACTTTTCCTATATATCAAAATTTAAAATCTTGAATATCCTTAACTTATTCATTAACCTATTTAGTTTCCTAAAGGTAGGAGATATTAATTTTTAGGATAATCACAATTAAAGACCCTTGGAGATAATTAATTATGCTGTAGGATCAAATGATTCTGATATTATTTTGTAGGACCAAACTACCTACCTTTGTTGTGAAAAGACAAAAATAACCTTCATATGTATATTATATACTCTTTTAACAACAACTCTCTATTCGAAAAAAAAAAGTTTCATTCACATTTTAACAACAATCACTTCTCATATTGACAACTTTGAAAAATTATTTAGTAATGGAGAGGAACAAATGTTGTGATTTGATAAACAAGTCTCCATTCAAGAAAAAAAAAGTCCCATTTTCATTCTAATAACAACAAATTCCATTATTAACAATTTAAAAAAAATAACTTGATGATGGAGAAAAATAAGTGCTGTGATTCAGTGAATAGATTTTCATTCGAGAAAAAAACAAGTCTTATTTTTATTTCCAACAACAATCAATTCCTTTATTAACAATTATAAAATACTAATTTGGTAGAAGAATTGTTATAATCTGATAAACAAATTTCTATTCAAGAAAAAACAAGTCACATTTCTATTTTAATAATAATCAATTCCCCTGTCACAACAAAAATGCATTAGGGATAATTTTATTTTTTTAAATAAATTTTAATTATATTTTAAGTCTTTGGTCTTGTAGAGTAATATCAAAATTTTTGATCTTAGAGCACAATTAATTATCTCTAGGGTCCTTGATTGTAATTTTTTCATAATTTTTGTATGAATCATAACTTATATCACCTCTATAGATTACAAGTCAAGATCCCAAATGTTTCAACTTTCAAGTACTAAATTTGATCTTATACACATGAACTAATTTTTTTAGCTGCTCTCATTAGAATAACATGGTATCTCTTACTCATTTAACACTATATCTTAATGTCAATGCAGTGGCTTTAATTCATTTCTCACTACACTCGGGCCATACAACGCGTTATTTACAAGCAACGATCTAGTATTAACACAAAAGTGTATATTGTTTATATATTTGTGAGATTCAATAAAATTTTACATTGATTGTTGAGAGGCTAACACAGCCTCTTTCTTTATTTAGGTTTAAGACTAATTATAAATATAGGTGAAATTTGTAAATGCTTTATTATGTTTTTTTATCAAAAGAATATAGTGGATAAAAAACAGTACCATAAGTTCAAAGTAACTCAATATAAAGCCCAAAATCAAATTAATTAACTAAATCAAATCATTAAAGTTCAATTTGATTGTAATTCGATTCAATTTAGTCAATTTTAAGTGTTGTTCTATGGATCAATGTGTGCATTTTGGAAAATCGAACTAACCCATGCTCACCCAAATAAGACATTCAATTATTCATAGTTTCATGTGCCAAGAACGCCACCTTATGAAACTGGTTCGAACTAGTTAATGTAGGTTCGGATGAGCTGGATCAAAATAATGATCAAAATGATTTAGTCCTGCCATCAGGCTCGGCGGTGCGTGTCACCCACTTAAAGCTGAAGGATAGTTTGGGGGTGAAGTTGAGAGAGAGATTTTGGATGTTGTCAGAGGAATTAAAGGTAAATTCAGACAAATTAGTCAGTTCAGTCGTGGGGAAAATTCCTCACCGGGGAGAGCCGATGGATTCTTGATTGGTTCGCTCGGTGTTTTTACGGGAATCAGCAAATAGGAGGCAGTGGATTCAAATGACGAGTTTGTCATGGGCGGAGAATCTGGAGAGCATGATAGTTGATGATTACGTGGCACCGTCACCACATCAATCTGGCATTTGACCAGCTCGTGCTTCAATCTGTGTTGTTGAATACAACTAGAGCAATAAGATCGTTTGCTGGTGCAGACATAGCCATATTTGGAGAGTGAACTGTATGTATGTACATTATATATATATATATATATTGAATAAAACAGGAACACTTCATTCAAAAGAATGCCGATATGCATGCACACTATTACAAGCTAGAGCATGAGCCTTTTGTTTAGGTTCTGTAGCTGGGATCAACCCCTGGGGGATGACAAAAGGGTTTGTTGGGCCTGTTGTCATCTTGTATTTCATTTTGTGAGAGATAGTTCCTGTTTCTTTTTCCCCTTTTTTTTTAAAAAGCCTCCAGACATACGTTAACATAACCATTTCTGTGTCCTGTCTTCATCGGCATCGGAACGTCATTGGTCAAGCAGACTTGGTTTGACTATATTCCGATGGTCTCTCTGTTCTCATATAGCTTAGCCCTTGAGGTTCAATTTTCCAAGTTTAAGTTTACTAGACACATTGATGTAGCTAGAAAATTTAGTTGTTTATGTCAAAAGTTAAGAAGTTTAATTTAATACTCCATCTAGTTTTATTTGTAGGGTAGAGAAAGAAGAATTTTTTGATTCTATTTATAAGTCTTTTTATTAAATTTTTATCACAAATTTTCTCTCTTAACCTTCAATTGAATGTTGGAGAGATAAAATATATTATTGAAATATGTATATTTAATAAAAACAAAATTAAAAACTTATTAAATTTTAAAATAGAGTTAATGAGTCTTAATTTTTTTTAATATTGATAAAATATGTTAAAAGTAATTTATAAAAAAAATCAGTGAAGTATTTTATAAATTTTTCAGGAACATTGTTGTGCAAAAAATAATTACTAGTGCTTTTCCCAAAAATAGATGGGCCTGGGTCAAATTAAATCGAGTCTAATTGGAGGTAGTTTTCAAAGGATATTTTCTGCATTCACATAGAGTTAAACTTAAGACTTTATGTTTAAATAAACGTCAATTTTTTTGTTTTTTTTTACTAAAACCATTTTTCATTAATTAATTAATTTGCTTATTTGATCCACCTGAACCATTTGCCACAGCCCACAGGTCTGTATTTTACCTTTTGAGTTTTGAGTGACCTTTTTTGTTCCAAGCTAAAGTAAAAAAAAAAGGATCGGGCCTTGTCTCAAGTTGGGTCAGCATCAATTGGGAATGACCCAAGTTATATTAAAAAAGAAAAAAGAACACCGGGTCTTACTAAAGCAAAGCAAAAGACATGTGGCATGAAAATGATTTTGTTTATTCAGCACAAACATCACTTTCGGAACGGAACACATCATTGAAGGGAAATCAGTTTCGGTGCTGATCACTGCAGTGCAGTGAGATCTGGATCATCCAAATTTTAATTTAGATGATTCAAATTTAAAAAGATTATCTGGATGGTCCAGACCTCAACATGAGCACCGAAACCGGTCTCATCATTGAAGTCACCAGAATACGAGTAAACTAGGTGCTTCGTCTGCTTACAAGTTATGATGCTGTGCCTGAAAGCCAAGCCTTTCTGCTCTCCGTGTTCTCTCACTTTCTCGCTCTCCAAACACTTCCGTCGTCTCACTTCTCCTCCTTCGTTCAAACCCTATTCTCATTCCTCGCCGTCCACCGGATCTTCCATCAAGATGTCCTCCTTCCAAACTGTCGAGCATATTGTTCTGTTCAAGGTCAAGGACGATGCTGACCCGTCAAAGGTCAACGCCATGGTCAGTGGACTCAGTGCTCTCGTCTCCCTCGACCAGGTCCGCCATCTCATGGTGGGGCCACTGCTGCGCAACCGATCCTCCGCCCTCACTTTCACTCACATGCTCCATAGTCGCTACGACACCAAAGATGACCTAAATGCGTATTCGGCGCATCCCAGCCATCTCAGCGTCGTCAGAGGATCTGTGCTTCCCATCTGCGATGACATCATGGCCGTTGATTGGGTCGCCCACGACCTGGAGGGCGATCTTTCTCCGCCACCAGGCTCCGCAATGAGAGTGAGCTTCTTGAAGCTCAAGGAAGATTTGGGCGATGAAATTAAGAATGAGGTTTTGGGGGTTATTGGTGAAATTAAAGATAAATTCGGGCAAATTAGTCAGCTCAGCTACGGGGAAAATTTCTCACCTGCGAGAGCTAAAGGGTTCTCGCTCGCGTCGCTTGCCGTTTTTAACGGACAGGCCGACTTGGATGCCGTGGATTCAAATGAGGACTTGGTGAACCATCAAAAGGATAAGGTTAGGGAGCATCTGGACAGTGTAGTTGTCGTTGATTATTTGGTGCCGTCACCACAAACTCGGCCTGCGAGCCTTTGATGAGGTTATGTTATGTAATGCCATTTTACTTGGTCTATGTTTAGACGTTTTTTAACTAATTGAATTGAATAAGCCGTCAGTGTTCAATTATTGTGCTGTGTAGAACAGTGTGAACTGAAACTACAGCTTTCAAGTGTTGTCTTCACTTAGACCTTCAAATTTCTACTTTTCTGGTTCCCTTTTCTCAAGTGTGTATATACGTTTGCCACAAAGTCATTCATCCTTTTCTGCGCTAAGTGCATCTCTTCCTTCGGGGAACCAAATCGGAGTAAGCCAGAAATTGGAACATTTTTGGGTCCAAATTAAATAGCTACAACAACACAACAGTACGGATGATTGATGATATTCTGACGGCTGTTATGCATCCTGCTTGTTCTATTGTTTCTGAATGGTTCTTTGCCAGTTGTTTTGATCCTGAGTTGCAATGGTCTTTAGGATTATATGGTTTTTATATTAGCAATATAGAGTGAAGGGGCTAACCTCGTGAGACATGGAACATGGTTAATTTTTTCCCCTTTCCAATGGTGTTGTTAGCTTAGGAACAATGCAAAATGTGATTGGAGGAGTCGGTTTCGTCTCCCTCAATATTTTACTTCAGTACTATGTGCCTTTTTTTTTCCTTTTAATAAAATCTTGGGATAGGGGAAGACCTACTTTTAAGTAATTATTTCCTTCTATAATTTGTTGCCTATGGTTTCAATCTGCGATTTCAAAAAGAATATAAACCTTTTCCTTCAGAAGAATTCTCAAGTCCCAAATTCAGCCCAAATTCAGCACCGTCATCTTAGACATTAATCATTTGCTCCATCAGTTTGAACATCGTCAGTTCCAAGTAGGTCAGAAGGATTTCTTTTACTCCGAATTTAGTTTCTCTCATTGGTTGTTTTGTAATGCTTTAACTTAGTGACATTTTCCTGTACGTTATGTTTCTTAACCTTTGTCTTAATTTTAAAAAAAATGGAAAATGCACACGGTTTACTGCCCAATCGTTTCCAATAATTATTTCTTAAGTAGCTTTTGACAATTTGCTAAGATCCTATTTTAGCTGTTGCATTTTAGCTCCTTAGTGGAGGTCTCGAGCTTATTTGGAGGACAAAGTATGCGCAATACATCAATTATGGAAAATCATATTGGTACGGTTAGTTGCTCCACCGTTCCCACTTGCTATATTTTCTACGTACTGTTCATTGATTTTGACTGTGACCGAGGTCATTTTTTATTTACCCTGCTTGTATATTGGCAGCCTGCTACCCTGTACAGTCTGGTTCACACACGCACACACACACACACTACATAACAAGAAGAAAAGCAAAAAAAAAAAAAAAAAAAAAAAAACAAAAAACAAACAAGATCACTGGGTTCAAGGGATAAAAGGTAAAAAAGACCTCCAAGTCACATGCAAAAAAGTAAATGTAAGAAAAACCAGAGCGTAAAGTTTAGATGTCCTGCATCAGCATTCCACTTCTCTGGCTCTCCATAAGTGCTTGCCGAAGGAAAGCCGGTTTCCTTCGAAAGCCAACAAACCCAATTGGGGCAATTATAGGATATCTGCTAACCATGTAGTTCTTGATCCAGCAAAGTGCTGCCCTGATGGAAGCAAGAGGATCCTTGCTAACATTTTGCGTGGGATTTTGAGAAGTAGGGAAAGAAGCTATATGAGATCCTTGAAATCTTAAGTTGCATGTCCAAGAAATGCTTCTCCAAAATTTCCTTATCTTGATCCAAATCGTCCATCCCTGCCTAAAGATACTCCAGACTGAAGGTGAGCTCAGGGTGTTGACATTGCGAACCATCAGTCGGTGGGTCTCATCTTGACAGGGTTTGATGGAGGTTTCAAGAAGCAGCCACCCAAGGTATTCCTCAATTGTTTTTTCTGGGGAATTATCTATGCCCATATGGACGGCTTGATTTCTTTTCCACCATAGAAAATTGAGCGTGATAATTCCTTTCTTTAGCCGTTCAGGATCCCCCTTTTTATAAAGGCCAAAGATAAGATCAGAGGTTCTATAGACTCCTTGATGAATAAGTTCTAAGGTACCAAACCAAACTGCTCTGGCATGATAACATTTGAAAAAAAATATGTTCAATAGTCTCCTCTTGATCACTTCAAAAGGATATATGTTTTTATGTATGAAGGTTGTGTTCAGGGCTGGCCTTGAGCTTCTCATCTTAAATAGGCTTGGGGCTGCTCTCATCATCATAATATCATACACAAGCCCGCCCAACCCACTGCTTTATTATATAAATATATGCTAAAACCCTCAGATTTGCTGGCCTATTCATCTCCTACGTTTCTCTGTTCTCAAAAGTTCATCAACCTTGGTATTTCGACTTGGGTACCTCAAATTATGACAGCTGATAAGTCTAATGTTTGAACCTGAAGATACTGATCTGTTTGCTGACATGTCTTGTGTTTGCAAAAGCTCATCCTTTATTCTTGTGTCGACTAAATCACCTCATGCATATCTGATTACTGATAAGCTGATGCTAGTCATGATGGGAAATCTTGTCCTTAGTTGTGCACGTTGGCTATTAAGTTTGTTTTTGATCCACCCCTTTTTTCCCGAAAACTGTGATCATTTGTTCAACGCCCTGAATCCCCAATGATATGCTTTGAGTTGAATGCAGAAGTCAGATTCACTATAGAGGACTTACTCTATTCATTCCATACGTCTGTGCTGGAACCGTCCTTGCATGAGCCATTGAAATGGTTAGTTAAGTTGACTCCTTAAATAGAACACTGGTTCATAGGAGATCTTATCCTTTCCTCATGAGCAACGAATCCTTGATTCACTCAATGAAACCCACCACATATTTTTTCTATCATTGTTGTCCATGGGGTGCAATGGTATTGTATAATACATGTAGTAGACCGATAAGGTTTATTGTTGTCATTGACATAATTTTTGTCACCTCTACCGCTTCCTTCTCCAAACCGTTAACCTCAGCTTCCATGCTAATTAATATTCACTACTCCCTTGGCACAGCACCCTTGAAAACTCGAATTAGTCCTTGTCTATTACATATCCTAGTCAATGTAGATAAATTCCTTTACCTCTTTAGCATTAGATGCGATATAGATTATCACAATTACAAACATGCTAGTAATGCATGGCATTCTTAAGGACTTCTTGAAATATTAGTTGACAAATCATTCTTAACATAGCTATTAATAATTAAGGGTGTTCACAGGTTTGATATCAAACCAATCGGTTTCCTTTTGTTTGAGACGTTATAATCAGTTTGGTTTAGTTTTTGAGTAGTGTGATTTGGATCAAGTTTGAATATTTTTTATGAGGTATTCTTCATAATTATCGATATATATTCACATTTACTGATAAATTTTAACTATTAATTACTATTTGTAAGGAAAAAATCTTGAGTACAAAATAATATTTTTTTAACAATTAATTAGCATATATAACTATTGAAAATCAATATATTTTATTTAAAACACTTGCTTATAAAATTACCATAAACAATTATAGATAATATTTAGCAAATTGTAATATATTTTTACTAGTAGTTTACAAATAACTAAATTTGCAAAAGATAAAAAAACTTAGGCAAGTTTATAAAAAAATTATATTAAATATAATAAGGTTTACTTTAGTTTGGTTCAAGTTTTCAAAAGAAAAAAAAACTTAAATTAAACTAAATCAATCAATTTTTATCAAAAGAAAAATCAAATTAAATTTTATTTATGATCAGTTTTGATTGGTTTATGTTAGTTTGATTTGATTTAATTTGGTATAATTAATTTAGATTGGTTTTAATCAATCCATTTTTGCCAAAAAGAAAGATCAAATTAAACCTTATTTATAATTAATTTTAATTGATTCATGTCAATTTGATTTGGTTTTGAATAATCTCAATAATAATTGTCTTGGAAAGTATCTTTTCTCCAAGGAAGTCACATTCAACAAAGCATTTGGTCCTCTCATCCAAATTAGATTTGAGACTGTGTCTAGTGGTTCTTGATTTAATTTTCATGGAGCAATGTTTTCCACCCAATCACAAATCACTTAATTCACGCACAATAACAATTTTCATAAATTACTGAATATATTTGGAAGGTCCCATCCAATCTAATAAACTGCTACGATGTACCTTTTTGAATGAATATATAGGAAGGTCGCTAGCTAAAAAGGGAACCCAAAGGTCGAACTTCATGTCCATAAATTGAAGTATCTTTCTATCTTTTTTTTTTTTTTTACTTTTTTAGTTTGCATTTGCAATCTCAAACTACAGAAGGGCTAGTTATTGATTCTTTAAATTTTATATTAAGCATCGCAACAAAAAAAAAAAATACCATTGGTCTTTAAACAAATTAATATTGAAATCCTAATATTTAGTCTTCGAGTGGTATTTTGATATTTAATTTGCTCTTTTGGTCTCATAGTCCCATTGAATAGTGTAGTTTTTTGGGAGAATGACATAATAATTTTGTAAGAATATTAATGTTAAATTATGATTTTTTAATACCGATGTTTGCAAATTTCAGTAATCTTTTTATCATGCGTCAGTATTAAAATTTTTAATTTAATATTAATATTTTTATAAAGTCTTTACTTATCATTCTCTCTACTTTTTTTTAATTAATTTTAATAAAATATATTAATAACTAATATTGACAAGTTACGGACCGAATATCAAGCCCAGATGAAGCCCAAAAGTGAGTCTTGTTCCGCTCATGAATTTACGTATTTTGTTAAGTGATTAACATGTGGTATTCTCTTTGCTTTTTTTTTTTTAAAAAAAAACATGTAGTACTGTGTTAGCTAGTTCTCTCCTTGACTTTTAATTCGGCCAGATCGAACTATAGGCCGGTTCTCAGCCGGACTAATGTGTCAGTTCTGACAATCCTGGATATATTGTAACCCCAACTCACGTCATTGATTTGACAAGTCATCCACATTTTTCAAACCTCTGCATAAACTCCTTCGCAGCATGTCTGATTTTTAATTTATCAAAAATTTATTTAATAAAAATTAATTATTATAATAAAATTTATATTTAAATATATATTTTTAAAAATTAATTTAATATATTAAAAATTATTTAAATTATAATATTAAAATGTACTTTTAAATATACAATTGTAAAAAAATATTAATGTATAATAATTTATAATTTTTATTATACAAATATAATATATTTAAAATATTTAAAAAATGTGATAAAAATTTTAAATA